GGAAGCCATGCCACAGAGTTGGGAGTGGCTGTTTAATTAACAATGTTTCTTTCCGTTTTATCAGAGATGGGGTGTTGCCAACAATGGATGCTAGCCTTAGATTAAGCTGATTACAGCAAAAATTTGAAGCTTTATGTGCATTTATTAATGTCATTTTTCTTTTTCTAATCATGTGATTAATTGACCAACTTAATGTCATATAACTTGTTAGATAGAGACATCTGATTTTTTCAACCTTTCAACTTGTAAGGTGGTTACTAATACTTGAAACAGTCGGGTAATTCTCAACTTAAATGACATTTGAATTTAGTGTGTTACATGTTAATTATACGACCTCGTTATTTTGAAATATTTCCCAATTATACACTTAACAATCTTGAGTTAACAAACTAAATAAAAGCTAAGGTTCTTTAGAAGAGCTTTTTAAAAGCAATTTTAAAGTTTTTTTTTTTGTTAAATTAGAAAATTGATCCTAGATTTTAATTTTAATTTGATTTCTACCGTTTTAAAAGTAACAATTTAACCCTATGATTTTAAAAGTTTCAATTTAGCCCATTATTTTTTTGTTAAACCTCATAAATTTTACTACATTGGCTCACTTTTTTATGTGGCAATGATATAATTTTTTATATTATGCTAATTGAGTTAGTTACCTATATTATATTATGGTTAAATGCTAGGTAAAAAGTAGAAAGAAATAGATGATTTTTTCATATAGACCTAAGAGATAATTTATAGATAATTAATGAAATCTAATCAAATTGAAGTGCTCTTAAACTTATATAGGACCAAATTGAAATAAAGTCTAAATCATAGGGAGTAAATTGAAATAGGATCAAATTTATAATCTAAATTTTCTTTTTTATATTTACATTAAGTTATATATTATAAACTTTTCTTTTAGTCTTGGTACTTCCAAACATATTTTATTACAGTACATGAAATTTCAAACATCTAAATTAAATAGTGTAGTTCCAATAAACCTTAAAATTAGTTTATATTACTTGCAAAGAATGAAAGTGATAATATTATTTTTATTTATTATACAATTTTTGGAATCAATATCACGTACCATTACTAATATATCATTTTCTTATTTACAGTATTACAAATATATTATCTAGAAATTATGTTTTTTTTTTCTGAGTACAACTGAATTTGACGGATTTAAATACAAGTAGTCCCAAAGTACATTTTTGATTTTATCCTTTCAAGATTTCAAAAAAATTTGAAAGTATTGAAATAATATGTTATTGAAAAGAGCATCTGTATTTCTCAAAAAATATCCAATGAAAAAACAATTAACTTGGAAAATACTACTCGGCGCTCGCGGAAGCATACAGAGAAATAGAACGACATAAGTAAGACGAACACTTTAAAGAACAAAATTGTTTGTTTCGCCAAATAAATCGTAAGAAAAAACAAAAAAAAAGGCCTTCTTCTCCGCCCTTTCGCCTCACTTCTGACAACAAAGCCAAATTAACGAAAAGGCAAAACTTTATTTAAAAATCTGAAGAAAAAAAAAAAGAGAGTAAAAAGATAATGCCCTTTTTCTTCTGCAACCTTCCTCGTTTCTTCAATTCTCCATCTCCTTCTTTAACTCTCTCTCCTCTCTCGTTTTCCTCTCCACCTCACTGCAGTTATCTCTTTCTGTCAGTTTTCCCCATTTCTTTTCCCATTCCCAAGAAACCCCACTGAGAAAAATTACTCAGAATTCGATTTTAAGCCTTGTGGTCATGCTTTCCAGAGTTGGGAACGTCGTTTGGATGGAAAATCGAGAGGACGAAGACTCGAATTCATGGACTAAAACCAATAACGCCACCACCAACGGCGAGAACCCTCTCAATCCCGGCAATTGTGTTCTTATGGAGAATAAGGACGAAATGAGCTCTCTCTCCACCTTCAAATCCATGCTCGAGGTTGAAGACGACTGGTGCATCACTGGAAACTCCCTCCATAACCACGGCGACATCAATGACATTACCTTCTCAGATAATCTGTTGCTTCCCACTGGAGATTCTTCCTCTTCTTGTTCCCCTTCTTCCTCTGTGTTCAACAACATCGACCCATCTCAATTGCGATTCTTTTTACCCCCGAATCGGGCTCTGTCTTCGCTCCACAAGGTCATTTCTAACAACCCTTTAGAGCACGGCTTCGATTTGGGGGCAGAGGTTGGATTTCTTGACGTCCAAGCTTCGAATGCTTCGGCTCTGCTCAACAATGGAGGTGGGTTATTAACTGGGTTTACTGATTTAAGCCCAACTAGCCATATGAACACTCCTAATTTGTGCTTAGGCTCTCAATTAACAGCCCCGAACGTGCCCCAATTGTCTGAAAATTGTTCGGGGCTAGCGGGATTTCAGAGTTTCGATGAGAATTTGGGGAATGCTCTGCTTCTGAATCGGTCTAAGCTGTTGAGACCACTTGAATCTTTTCCCTCGGTGGGAGCGCAGCCGACTCTTTTCCAGAAGAGGGCGGCTCTTAGGAAAAATTTGGCCGATAATGGAAGCAATTTGGGGGTTCTGAGCCCCGACGGCGGCTGGTTTTCCAACAGGATTGAAGGGAAAAATGAAGTGGGGGATGAAAATGGGAAGAAGAGAAAAATGATTTATGCAGACGATTTGCAAGATACAAGCATCGACACATCCCATTTCAATTACGATTCCGACGACTTTACTGAGAACAATAATAACACTAAGTTGGATGAGAATGGTAGAAACGCCGGCAACACCTCGAACGCGAACAGTACGGTGACCGGCGGCGGCGACCAGAAGGGGAAGAAGAAAGGACTTCCGGCGAAGAATTTGATGGCTGAGAGGCGCCGGAGGAAGAAGCTCAATGATAGGCTCTACATGCTGAGGTCCGTTGTTCCCAAAATCAGCAAAGTGAGTAAGAATTTCTCCGCACAAATCTTCTCTCTCATTTTTATATTTCACGTGATATTTCAGATTCACAAGTTCTTAAGGAGAGAACATCCCCTGTTTCTCTAAACCAAAAGTCTCGTTTTTTTTCTTTCAACTGTTCCAAAATGGTTTGAATTCATATGAATGAGTGGAAGTGTGTTCTCATTCCATGTCTTGGTAGTTTTACAATTTATCAATGGAGATAGATTTGTGAATATTAAGGACTTGAATTTTTAAGTCCACTAGTTTTAGAATCCAATTATTTTATATTGCTTTCCAATTTCCACGCAGAGGAACACTCTATAGTTCTTGGATTTGAATTGTTTTTCTTTTTTTCTGCCTCATCTTCCTCGATTAACTAACGTTTATAATAGACTTGAAGTATTTATCTAATTTTAGTTCCATAAATATTGATACAGTATCAAAGTCAAAAAATACTTAAACGAACATATTCAATCAAGATCGATAAACCAAAAAAGAGCCACGAGTGCGAGTGAGACTGAGTCATTTGGATTCTCACTTTGAATTTTTAACTTGGGTTTCTAGTACAAGTGGTGCGCTTCTTCTAAGAGCACTCTATGTGTTCTTTTTCAATCTATTTTTAGAATCTTTCACCAATTTAATTTTACAGCATTTTTAGTGGGTTAAAGGCACTTTCTACTGTGCTTTAAATTTTTTACCATTTTTACAAAAATCACTTTTAGTCCTGGCCTGGCAAACACACACCAAGTGTTAGATGTTAGTGTCATTGATTTGTCCTCTTTCTTTTGGACCTATATACAAATGGAATTTTCCGAGAAGTTTGAAATTACATGTGACCGATCATGTATGTCAGAATTTTAGGGCTCGTTTGGTAACGTTCCCGTTTCTTGTTTCCCGTTTCTAATTTTCTTAAGAAATCTAACCATTTTACGACTAACTTTGTTTTTTGTTTATCCTCTTTTGGGAACATTCTCACAATTGTATAGAAATTTTAGGAACAACCAAAACAAGTTTCTCTTTTCTTGTTTCCATTTATAATTTGTTCCAAAATATAAATAAAAAGATTGTTTTATCATAATTGAATTCTTGGAGGTTGGAACCATGCAATACATTTTTATTTATTAAAAATAAAGAAACAGAAACGTTACTAAACGAGCCTTTAGATTCTAAAATTTTGAATCTGATAATATGTAGTAGCTGTTTCCTGGTGTAAAACTGTAAGAAAGTGCTCTTTAAGGTTCTCTGCTCTTTCTTTTCCCTCGTTTGCTTCATAAAGTAAAAATAACAATCTGTGATGGATATTTCCCTGTGGCATGACTAGATGGATAGGGCTTCAATTCTTGGGGATGCAATTGAATACTTGAAGGAACTACTGCAAAGGATCAATGACCTCCATAATGAGTTGGAATTTACCCCTTCTGGGACTGCGTTGACGCCGAGCACGAGCTTTCACCCCCTGACTCCGACTCCGCCGAGCCTCTCGAGTCGTATCAAGGAGGAGCTTTGTCCTAGCTCATTTCCCAGTCCTAGTGGCCAACCTGCAAGGGTAAATTCCTCATCTTGGGACAACTTTTCTTTGCCCTTCACATAGTTCTTGATCATTGCATTTGCATCTGTATTACTTGTTATAACCCTGTAACCTGAAGAGACTATTGATTATATTACCGTATTCATAGGTCGAAGTTCGGGTACGAGAAGGACGTGCAGTAAACATACACATGTTCTGCAGTCGTCGACCCGGCCTCCTGCTCTCCACAGTTAGGGCATTAGATAATCTTGGGTTGGACATCCAGCAAGCTGTGATTAGCTGCTTCAATGGTTTTGCTATGGACATTTTCCGAGCCGAGGTGAAATCCTGTTAGAAGTTGATGCATTTACTTACCCTTTGTCAAATTAACTTCAAAATATAATATTTTAAAACCAATTATTCCAAATAAAAAAGGAGTTTTAAAGTGTAAATTCAAACAGTCATAACCTTTCTTGTACCCTTTCAATTTACGAGAAATGACTAGACCTTTATGACTGATAAGTGTACATATTTTCAGCAATGCAGCGAAGGCCAGGATGTCCATCCTCAGCAGATAAAAGCAATACTATTGGATTCAGTTGGTTTCAATGGTGCGACATAGATTTCTGTGAGACAAGTAAATAATGCCTGTACTGTGAGAAACTCAACTATTTCAATCATATTTTACCTTGCACCTTTCCTAGATAACTCATGAGTTCTCTGTTGTTCATCAGGAAAATGACTCCATTGTTGGCTCGGAAGTAAAAACTTCCTGTTCGTAAAGAATTATGCACTGACTTGATGATGAGATTATTATCACAATTTTAAGTTCCGGTTTGTGTAGCTATTCCATGTTTCGAACTTGGGAATATTCGCAAAGGGTATTATGTTAGCAATTTTTCGAACATAATTTGATGGTCAACCTTATGAATCATCCACTTCTCGAAAAGACCAGATAATTTCAGTTGTGTTTTCATCTGTTTTTTTCAATCACAACCAACTTCATCCCTACCTCCTACTCAGTTTTCTTGGCTGGTTGAAAGAAGGATTATAGAGGACTGGCCATCGGGCAGGACCATCCGAAATTCAACTCGAGATAATATATGGGCAGAACTACGCTATTTATATTTACACCATGCACATGCTCATTATCAAAATGTTGTGCGCTTAACTAAAAGTCAAAATCATAAAACTACATTGAGAATTTACAAAGAACAATTTATCGACGTTTTCAACTGTTCGGGATTCCAACTCTTTTCTTGTTCACAACGATAACCACCATTAAACAGTGAAACTCAACTCATGCTTCGTAAGTCTCAATCACCTAAAACTAACCAAAAGTTATGTTTCCTGCGTCTGAAACACTTGATGAATTTCCATGATGCACAAGCTTATCCCTTAAATCAGAGTAATACCCCATACGATGCAAAAATGGCATTAGTAAGTAGTACAACCCATAAACAGGAAGGAAATGACACGCAATGTCTACTATTGTCATTATTTAGTAATATTGGTATGTAACCTTGTTAGCCAGAGATCTGTCCAGTGGAAGTTGGGTTTATGCGTCATTAATATGCACTACACCTCTATCTCTGTCTTCCTTTTTCGATGCCTTTTTCCGCTTCCTCTCAGTTTGAGGTTCTTTTGTCTTTAGATCATTGCAGAAGGATGTTAATGAGGCAGCGAGATGCTCGTTTCTATGGGCTGAGACCAAAATGAAGCAGAAGTGAAGAAGTTCAAGCGATTAAATACTTCCTAGAAAGGTCTGCTGTGCTGCATATTGACTAAATATAACTAGACAGAAACAACAAAACTAACGAAAAAAAATTGGACTGCAAACTGAGGTTAGCATATATATTACAGAGCAGACAAATTTGGGAATAGGACAATCTAACCTGATAGTATGACGTCTTCCGTATTCACAGATTTCCTACCAGCATGTTGAGCAAATAACTCAAGGTCCTTTGCCAACTGTTCTGCTACACAAGTTACCAGTCCGTTATCTCAATGCAATACTTCAAGAACCATAAAAACAAATCAAACACAAATATGATCGAATTATCCTTTTCCTTGCTGCCTGATATGAAACTACAGTAGCAGATTAAACAAAACTGTGTTTTCCTGGTATAAATTATACTATTAGGCAGTTCATATGTTGGCCCTGTCCCTACAGACATAAGCATGTCCTATACCAAGGTATGAACTCAATGTATGGTTGAAACCTTATAGATCTACAAATCATTCCTGCGTATGATGAAAGAATACATTAATGTCTTTTAGCCAATGAATAAAGTATTCATCAGATACATAAAACAGACTTGAAGCCAATATATTAACATAACTTAATAATGTTTACAAGATTTAAGTATAAACAAAGAAACAGAAGGCAGCCAGAACTCTCCTTCTGATGGTATTCCTCGAGGTGAATTACAAAATTCAACTAATTGTTTAGCCCCTTTTTGGTTTGCAAGAGTGAAGAGTCTTACACCTCTTCTACCTGAGGTGTATATCTACCGAGGGGCATAGTGAGGTTAAGGCTTTTCACCTCACGTGATCATTGTATAGCGTAAGTCTCAAGCTAGAATGAATGGACATTTTTGGTCCCTCCTAAAAGGATTGATATTGATATTAACTATAAAAACATCTGATTAGAATCCAAAAGTATCTTGCAAAGTCATTCTCTAAGCTATCACATTAGTCTCTCATCATTTATTCTTTCCGCAACTCCTCTCCAGTCTTACACTTGAACAGAGTTGTGTGGTTTTCTTCCAACTAGGTCACACAATTTAACTACATAGCACAAAGAGGTGTCCAAAAAACCGAATGCATGATAAATAATAAGAAAATTTCAAACTGAAACCACATATAAACCGCCTAAAAATGATGGAAACACGGCTAGAAGAGAAGGGATGTTAAAGGAATTATCAATTAGGATACGTACATATAAAGCAAAATGCAATTATACTGACAAATGGTGAAATAGACAATTTCAATGATCTATCAATAATCCTGCTATTGGGTGTAGTCATGAAGGAAGAAAAACGACACAATTATCGACTTTCGCAAATCTGCAGGTTCCTAGAGTGATATTGCAGTCTCAAAAACGGTGAACGGCAGCAAAGAAAAGTAAACTAACTTGTATATTTGAACGCTAATTCAGCGACACAGGTCATCACGGGTTCAGAGATTTCCATGCCGTTTCTCTTCGCTGCAAAAGAAACCAACTATGGCATTCAATGAGCGAAGGATGTCTTTTTTCTTTTCATTGTCAATGAAGTTAATTAACCTTCAGCTTCAGCGATAGAAATGGTGGAGAGTCGGAATCGGTCGCTCAAGAGTTCGGTGGCGGTGTCGTCTTCCTCCCGCCCAGTTTCCATAGCAAAGCCTACACAGACCACGCACAGACTTCCCTCCAGAAATGAGCGATCCGGATTAAACGAACCGTTTTTACATTACTGTTTGAATTTTAGCTTCATTTTGGGACCAAAAATAAACTTCTTCTTAGTTAAATTTAAAATATATTTTTTAGTTAATTTTAACCTTACAAATTTCAATTTCAATTAAATTTGAAATATGAATAAGTAGCAAAATTAAAAATTGAATTTTACTTTTAAAAAATTAAAATTTATCCTAAACTTAAAAAGGAGCATCCATTTTTATTCTAAACTTTCAATTCTATCAAATTAAACCCTAAATTTAGATGGGTATTACAATTTTTTTTTTCAAAGTTTGTTAAACTCACTACTAATTTTAACGTAAAGTAAGACAAAAAATCTTTTAAAATTTACTGATTTTCTTAAAAAAAATCAATATCCAACTCTACTATTTGATAATTTATAAATAGATAAGAGATTTGTATCATTTCAAAAGTTGATTTCAATTTTATTCTATGTAATTGTTGACGTTAGTCCATTAAAGTATAAAGATTGCAATATTTATGTGAAGTCTAAGAAGATGGAAAGGGTTAGGATTAAAGTTTATAACAAATTTTCAAATGTAGAGGGTAAAATTGAATTTTTGTTTACATATGTTCAGGAAAATTCTCACTGAAAATATCTGCGACGTGTCACTTGCATGTAAATGATATTACTTCCACAAAAGAAATATATATATATATATATATATATATATATATTACTTCCCAGGAAAAAAAAAAGAAAAAGAAAAAATGGAAAGCAATGATATTACAGTTTTTTAGGTAGACAATCTCCCATGGACTCTACGATCATAGGGCCAGGGCGTGTAAAAAATTAAAAACAAAATTAAAAATTAATTTTTTAAGGAAGAAAAAAAGAGGCTAAACAAAAGAAGAAACCCATCGGACGCTCAGAGCCGCGGAGAATGGAGAAATGAACTAATTCTTATTACCAATATCAATGGAGGCGAAGAACATGGCGGAGGCCGCGGAAGAGAACGATGGAAGCAACAGCAAGGAAGAGCAAGAGGAGGCCTTGGTGGCTCTGATCGATCATCGTTGCCGTGAAGTCCAACATCTGAAGCAGCGCATCTCCTACTACACTTCACAGGTCTATCTCTCTTTTTAATTCACTTCTATTCCTTCGATTCTTGCTGTAACCTAAGACAAATTTGGGGTTTATCTGACTAGAAAGAGAAGACTTTAATTACAGAATTACTGCATTGATTGATGCATTTTATTCTCCCGTTTTCCTTTCGCAACTAACCCTCATTTCTTAAGCGTCTGCAGCTTGAAGAAGCAGAGAAGAGATTAAACGATTCAGAATCTAAATTGGCCCGGCTTCGACGCCAAAACAATGTGGTGTCATCAAAAGAGTCTCTGAAAAGTAGAGCGGTAAGTGTGAAAGTGGAGCAAACGTCAAGTATTCCTGTCCCTGTGAATGAAGGTAGCAAGCCCCAGTCGTTGTCGAAACCAGAGCTTGTAATTCCCGCTGTGGCTCCAATGATTTCCCAGAATAGTAAATTGGCCGGGAATGGAGTAAAGAGTTCAAATAGCTACAGGGTTCAATCCAGTCCTTCTCATTCTAAGAATGTAATTAAAGTTGAACAGGACAAAACTATTGGCAACTCTTCTCTTCGAGAAACTTCGAACAGTCTTGAAAGAGGGACAAAACGGAAGCTTGGTAGGATTCTCGTTGGTCGAATATTCTCTCTGTAGTTTCACTTTTCAGCTGCAACTTCATTAGGTTTATGGCTATGCATATATGATAGATCATACAAGAGTTCTTTCGTGATGACTGCTAACTTTGAACTCTTTATTTCAGAGCAGCAGGACAAGGAACATAAAGAGTTGGTCTCATTAATACGAAGCAGTGCATCACCCTCTCTAATCCGTTGCTTTGGGAGCAATCACATCTCCAGTCAGCATAAGAGAAAGTTGAGGAGTCTCATCTCATGCCCAGTTAATGAACAGCTATTTGTGACCAGGTAACTAACTACATAAAGATTGTATAGAATTTACCCACACAGAAAGACCGAAGAAACCTATACTTAAAACTATAACTGGCCGCTCCAGTACCTTAAAAGAAATTTATTGTCCCTTTTTAAGGCATGGTACCCGTCAAACGAGTAGGGAGAACGACACTTCTCTTCTTATGAAATCCTATTTTCTTCTCTCCAGTTCCTGCCAATTGTACAGTGATTAAGAAGATGATCTGAGTATACTTTCCAGCGTACTTAACACCCCAGATGAATGGGTTAAGATTAATTTAGGTTCCATATTGGACCACCATGATACATTTAATCTTAAAATTTCAACTTTGATTAGGCTTGCCGTTGATTTACTTTTCCTGCCTTCTAGGAAACGATGCAAATCCTAACTTTTCTTTTTGGAATTGAAACGTTTACGCTTTACAGTGCCCTGGATGGAGTAGTCAGCTTGTGGCAGTTACATTCCAAAGGGTGAGTGCTAGTTGTCTCCCAACTTATCCTAGATCGTATCATCTACTGGTATCATCTTTTAGAGCTGTAAGCTATGACCATTCTGGTTTAACTAAGAAATATTTGCCATGCCAATTGGTGAGTCTGGAACATTGTATTTATGAGAAGCCTCTTTCAATGAGCTGTCAATTTATCTTCTAATGTTTTGATCATGCCATTGTTGATTTCTATGGAATAAAAATTAATACGCATTAGTGCGAGTTTCTTGTGCAAGTTAAAATGATGCTCGTAGTTGATGGATGGTACAAATGCTCATTTGTTGCTTTGAGATATATAGTTAGAGTATGAGAAGGCTTTTTTAATGTGGATGTGGTTTCCTATTGGAGGAATGTATTTGTACGATGTTTTGTATTGCAATATGTGTGGTGAAATACCTTATCGCTCATCCCTTAAAGTATATCTATATGACGCACTTCTTGATATGTCTTCAGAACTAGAGTCTCTTCTTTATTGCATATGCGACATGATCTTTTCCAATTTCTACCCAAATATAGAGATGCTTAAGCGTGTTTGTTCCTCTCCTCTCATTCACTCCCTCAATCACAGGTCTGGTGCCTCTCTACTTAGTTCTGCTGACTGTGTATCTCCAAAGCAGAGGAGATGGCCGGAAGATATAGCCTGGCATCCAGAGGGCAATCGTTTATTTCTTGTTTACAGTGCTGATGGTGGGGACTTACAGGTGTCAATTATGAATCTGAACAAAAGTGAAGGGGTATGGTTTATATTAGAAATCAATGTTTACCTTTTAAATGCACTTCTCTGGTGAGATTATGATTTTAGATGTGAAGAAATGGGGGTGGAACTATATCTCCTTTCCAAGACAACTAAATTGTACCTTTTCATATTTAAAAGTCGGTGATTTGAGGTTTTTGTGACTAAAGTGAATTTTTATGTCTGTCCATTGACAGAAAGCACGTGTTACTTTCCTTGAGGATAAGCCCCACGTAAAGGGCATCATCAACAGCATAATTTTCTTGCCTTGGGATAATTCATCATTTGTCACTGGTGGTAGCGATCATGCTGTCATACAATGGAAAGAGAAAGATGGAGAGAACACATGGAAGCCAAAGGCATTGCACAGGAATCTGCACTCTTCAGCAGTCATGGGAGTTGCAGGGATGCAACAGAAACCCATCGTTCTTTCAGCAGGGGCAGACAAGAGAATTCTTGGGTTTGACGTAAATGTTGGAAGAACAGAGTACAGGCATCAGATAGAAAGTAAATGCATGAGTATATTGCCTAATCCGTGTGATTTTAACCTATTTATGGTTCAAACAGGGTGAGCTTTCTAATACTATCTGTTTGCTATGGAAAATAAACTGTCTTGTTTGTAAATGTAAGGTGATCCCACATTTCTTTACACGTCTATGTTTGGTTTGCTTAACACATATATGTGCTCTATTGTTTAATTAGTGGTGCATAAAGTTTTACATATTTACTACTAGCTGTTAAATAACAGAAAGCCTTATTCTAGACATAAAATTTGAAGTAAACATGTTTAGGCATTGTGATGAATTGCAACCCTTTTCCCAGAAGAAGTTACTTTCATTCATTAGTTCTAGGATGGGAACTGCAAATATGTTGGCACATATTTTTATAGCCTCTTCAGCATATTTGACTTGTGTAATGGTGGTATATTTAATATACTTTTATTAAAAGAAAAAAGTTTATAACAAAACTTGTGTAACTGTGTTAACCACAAGGGGAGAACAGAAAAGGAATGAGGAATCCCCCTAAATCTAATGGGAATTAGGGACAAGGATCCCACTTGGCTTGAGGAAATTCCTTGGACCACGTACTTAGTAGAGGGAAAAGATCTAGATAGGTCCCTAAAGTCTTGAAACGCCCTTCAATCTTTCAAAACACAATATTCATAGGGAGCCATGCCAGTGTTGGACCAAATAATTTTAGCTTGCTCTCATAAATGATGACCACAAAGAAGTTGGATGAGAACCAATACATTGTCTTTTGGGAAGCACCAATTGCACAAATGGCAGTATCATAAATAGCTACTATGGGTATGACCCATCTACCAGGATACTTTATACATAATTACAGATGTTTGGTATGAGATGTACCACAAGACCAATAAGTTGATTCATGACCTTGTTATTGATCTCTTGGCCCAAAAAAAAGTATAGGTTAGTGACTGAACAACTTTTCCCTACTTCTAGCACCAAAATACAGATTGGAAAAAAAGATGATTCTGGTCATATACAAAGAAGGCACCAACTTGGGGTTAAAGGATAGTTACGTTACGGATCCTTTGTTCCACTTTGTTGCAAGGTGTTCAATTGATCTTGGGCAAGTACTCACATGAAGAACTTCACTTTTTTTTGTTTTTTTAGGAATTTCAGCTTTCCAAATAGCCTTGATCATGCAATTCTGAATTATCAAATACTCCATCCATCTCAAAGAGACCCAAGAAATAAGATTTTCAGGTATAGGAGCTTCTATTGTTAAAAAAAAACCCACCTTTTAGAGTCTGAATAATGATTAAAATCATCTTGAAGTAATTCTGAGAGAATGTCCAGTCACTCACCTCCGATCATTGAGATTTCTTCTAAACTCAAGATTCCACCCTTGAATCTCCTTTGCCATCATTGATTGACAAAAATTTGCTAACATTCACGACTCTCCAGAGCCTCGGAGACAGTAGCCTCGAAGGACTTTCATGAACCCAAGGATCCTCCCATAACAAATTTTATAACCTTCATCCAACTTGCATTTGTAGCATATATCCCCTGTTGCAGGCTGTAGTTGAAAATGGCTTCTAGATTGGAAACGTTCTTATCCAACTGCCAGGGGCCAAAGGATGTTTGCTATGAATAACTTTCCTCCACAGAGCATTAGTTCCCAACATAAACCCCCAGCCACATTTAGCAAGAAGGGCAGTGTTCCACTTTTTGGAGCGGCCAATACCATGGCTTATTCTATCTATAAGCAAGGACAGGTTTGGCTAAGATGCATGGCATTACTTAGCTGTCCTGGAAAAAGCTTATAAGACTTGACTTTGAGTACCATATTGTGTGAGCTAAAGTTAGTATTCGAAACAAATTTTTACAAGGTATTGATTTGTTTTATAGATTTGATATTGCCTGATGAAAGCCCCTGCAAATATTTCTATCATTTGCTTCCATTGAATATAAACGTGGAGATTAAATTACTTTAGGTCTAGGCTGAAATATTATATCGATCATGCCAGAGGAGACATAAACAAGCATTTTGATTATATACTTGTATATTTTACGTGCAGAACTCCAGAAAAGCAGCTTCGGTTATATGATATCAGACTTAGGCAGACAGAACTACATGCCTTCGGGTGGAAGCAGGAAAGCAGTGAATCCCAGTCAGCATTGATAAATCAGGCTTGGTCCCCTGATGGTTTGTATTTGACATCTGGCTCTGCAGATCCTGTGATCCATCTGTTTGACATCAGGTACAATTTGCACAAGCCTTCCCAGTCTATAAAAGCTCATCAGAAACGAGTCTTCAAGGCAGTATGGCTCCAATCTCTCCCGCTTCTTATTTCCATATCTTCTGATCTGAACATTGGATTGCACAAAACAGCATGAAGTTCCCATCCACAATGTTCTTATTTGCCCATTGGACTTGTCTAGCCCCCCCCTTTTTTTTGTTTTTTGAAGGGAATAAATTTTTGTTCAAAGATGAGAAAATGAGTGCCATCCACTGAAGAAGAATGTTATTTTTGGGTAGTAAGAAGCGATATTGCAATGCTCAGTTAGTTGTCTTAGACGTTCCAAACGTGTAGTGCCTATTTTGAACATTGACAACCTGCTCGTGAATTGTTGTCATCTTTGTAATATCAAACAAGCATTCTTAAGCAACGGAAAGTGGAATGCCAATGCTTTCATATCATTGCATATGTTTGCATTGACATATATTTTACTGTTTTAAATTTGACATCATCTTTAGATTCCCACAGACCAACGTGCATTTGAGCTCATCTTAAGTAAACTCGATACACGATTAAAACTTGAAAATTTATGCCACTGTTCATTGAAAATTGAGAGTGAGTCGATTTGTGGAAGTATGTGGCTTGAATTCCCCCAAAAGAAGTCACCAAATTAATGCATCTTCATAAAATACAAGGAAAAAATTCGAGCATTACACACTTTAAAGTAGGTTACATGTTCCATAAAGAACCATTACACCACTCCATTGGTGAAAAGATAGGAAACTTCAGCCGCTATTATTCTAAAAAATGTATGTGGTAGACTAGAATATTCCTCAAATTTCTCCTGTAAGCCAAACCTTTATTCACTACCTTTCCTACACAACTCCTCTATCTTCCTGAACATGAAGTTTAAACATCAGAAATAGATAGGCTAAGCTATGGTTGCCTTCTCAAGGGTTATATCTGAGATAAGAAAGGAGGGAACAGTTACTGCGTAGTTGCCCCTGAACTGAACTTTGTAATTGGTCCACCGGAGAGCATGCCTACAAGGGTGGCCAGTTGACTGCCATTTTGCTTGCTTTCAAGAATTCGACTGGCTCCTGACTGTAATTGTACACGTGTAAAAATATTTGACCAAAAAACTAACGAGATATAAAGAATAAACATGACAAGCAAATGCAAGATTATATTTCGGATAGAAAAGGTGATGAAAATTTACACTAAATAAGAAAGATTAGTGGGAGACTATTATTGCAAGACAAATGAACCCTCTATTCTTTTCTCCATGGATAGCTGAGAGAAATTTAATGGAGAAAACATGTCTTTGAGACTGGAGGCTGGAACTGGCTTGAATTCATAAGGTCCTTCTTTTGTTCCCCAAACCTGTAACAAGCAAATCAAACATTCAATTTATTTGAGGTTCTTTACAACATTTTCTCCTTTCTTATGAGATTGAAATATGAAGTACATAAAAAGAACCTGGTTTCCATCATCGTCGTAACCCCTTTCCCAGGTATGTACTTCGTTATTCTTTAGGATAGCAATTTCTGAAGTACAGTAGGCTGCTCCATTCTGTCGTAAACAGAAGGCCAATGGTAAGGGAAGGGAGTAATTGGTGACTGGAATATTGCAGTTGGGTTATCTAACTTTTTAATCTTACAATTCTCACAGATAAGAAAAACCGAATATTTATGTGGAATTACAATAAAACATAGACATCCAGATGCTCTTACCCATGAATTTGGAAAACCACCGGGAGGAGTTGAACCTTCATACAGGCAACGTTTTCCACGATCACAGCGCTTAAGATGTAAAGTAGTCAAATGCTCTGCAATGTCCTGTGCATGAAAATCTAGACTTGTATGAGATTCACCCAGCTAGAATCTCCCTCTGTTACAGTTTCACTAAGGACCAGACTTAGGCAATATTGGGTTTTGATATTTATAGTGCTGAAAACAATAATAATACCAATCTTATGAACTCCACAAGGCTGTAAGAAAGAGAAATGTAGAAGATTTATAAAATACTCTGCATCTGATCATCCAAACAAGATAATATTGAATAGACAAAGATGTTCAAACTATATAGCATCTAAAATATATACCCTCAGAAGCATTAAAACTTTATTTTCTTCTTCTTCACTATCTTCATAACCATGCTTATCTCCACCATTAACTATGGTAACTCGTGTTGACCTGTTCTAACTTAATCAGTGTGTATTATTTCATCACCAAACGGCTCGTTCTATGCATTAATGGGGTATCATTAGAACTTATTGTCAGATTAGGAATTTGACTGAGTTATTGAACTGATTAAAAGATGGAAAACCACTCATTCAGTATCCAATCAAGTAATTAGAGTCAGCACAACATTAAACTCGTATGTCCATATATCCAAGTCTGCAGTCTGATTACCCACTGCTGCAATTCCAATGGTTCAACCTGCTACCTTACAGACATAAGGACCAGACTTTGTGCTCTTCAGTGGGTAGTTTGGTATTCCCGTCCAACGTCCATGCCCATGTTCACTTTTTTATTATCTCAAGTCTTAACAGTGAAGTTATGTTGAGCTTACTGAAAGTTCCCCACCTATACTTCAATTTAGTTCCCGGCTCAGAACCAAGCTTCAACTTTTTACTTGGTCCAACTATGAAAAGTCAAAGTATAAACATGGATTTGAGTCCCTCGTCAAAACCAAAGTTGATAAAATTGAGCAGTAAATTTTGGAAGATAGGACTAGGTTCAACTACTACTCTGTGTTAAGCAGCTCCAAGAGCACCCTGTGCCCTATTTCTAAATGAACATAGAGTTAAAGTTGGTCAGGAATAGGACTAGGATAATGGATAAACTAAAATAACATATTTTGAAACAAACTTATATCGAAGCAATAGAAAATCTGATGAAAGTGTTATAGCAGATGGCTAACCCCAACAATTTCTTCGGGAAGAGGACGTTGGTCTTTTGTTCGATCACAAAAATTCTTGTACTCCTCCATATCCCGTATGGCGTATGAGCTTAGCTGCAGAGTGAACAAATGTAAGATACTTTTGGAGGTCACATCAGTCGGATTTCAATAAAATGGGCAAAGATAGCAACGTCATATTTCTTCAAATATCATGCATGTTACACATTACTTCCAAACCATTATGATTTTCTTGGTTGTACTAATTAAATGAAGTGTCTAGGCTCCACTTAGAAAATACTCAATTTTGTAATCTATCTATTCTATGATTACTACTTATTCTATTTATAAATTATAAATAGCAAGCCCCCATCAAGTAAACTATTTCAATGTTATTATTCTGTCTCTTTCTTCTGCTGCAAATTCTGCCACCAACCATACCAGCAACTATACACCTGTAGAAATTTGTAGTAGGAATTACATACCCTACATTTACACCAACTACAAAACAGAATATGTGCTGCTCACCTCCACATCACATTTCATCTCCTTTGAACATGGCTTCACCGTATAAAATCTCTGCAACCATAGAACTAATCAAATTATTATAGGTATAATGAAGGAAAGTATAGCAAATTAAACATAGGAGTTCATAAATGGCTACATTTCTTTTGCTTGATAAATCTCAAACTGCAAACTAAGGAAGAGGGTGAGATAATTAACAATACCTGGCGAAAGGGTTTTTGAGGAGTTCTGGAGAAAGCCTGTCAAAACAAGAAATCAAATGAGGATTGATTTCTGTTGGAAAGAGCTGCTAAAAGGAATATTATTAAGCAGGAAGAGGGCTAGACTCACTTGTTCGAAGTATAACACCGTAGAACCATCAACCATTTCTGCTGCAGGGCACGTAGTCATTCTAAAACACAATACTTAAGCCCGTCAATCAAAAATCATTCATCAAAAAATTTATCCAAACTACAATTCAAACAGAGGGGACGATGAAACCCTAGTCAAATAGGATTGAAAATGGGTTCTTCATTTAGTAGCAGACTAGAATCGTACAATTCACAGCTACTAAACAGCATTCACGTATCTCGTACCTAATATTGAAGTAATTATCAGGATCCCTGGATGCTTGCTCCTTCGAAAACTATCAAAATTCAAGAAAAGAAGACATTCAAAAGGATTAAAAGAATGTGATAAGTAGAAATTGGGGTTTTTGCGGGGATGTTCGAACAAAGACCTTTTCGCCGGAAAGGGACTGGGAAACGAAGCGAGCATGATCCCAGCGGGTCGTGGACTTAGTAAGGCGTTTAAGCAAAAGGGCACCTCCGACCAGTACCAAAGTCTTCATTATCAAACCCCCAGCTCTGTTCCATCCTACTGAGCTGTTATTGTCATTGTTTGAATTGGAATTGGTACCCATAGCTTCACTTCCTCAGCTCTCAAACACCCACCATCACGATCTTCTCCAGGTTACCAGAATCATTCAGAGCACGAAATCGAACTTTAAAGAGTAGAGTCGAGATTTAGCGCAGAGTTGTAAGAGAAAATTTTGGAAGCGACGGCCACCGTGAGAGAAATTAGGAGGTGGGCGCTAAATTAGTGTCGTCAAATTGACACCCCATTACTCCACTCTCCAATACCGAATTTCGGGCGTCGGCTCGTGAAACTTCGCCACATCACGGCGGGCTCTTCTGTTCAACGTCCTCTTCAATCTCTCGATATATACACAAGAAACGCCATGGCCACAGAAAATGTGTGCACCCCAATTTAATTCATAATTTGTCGATTCATAATATATCCTCTGATATATAAACGCCTTCAAATGTCCCTTTCTAAATTACAACTGTAGTCTCAATCTTTTTATTTTTTATTTTTTTCAGAAAGTCTCGATTTATTTGTTATTCTTTTTAATTTATTTTTTAGCATTCACTAATTTAAGTTTTAACACTTTTTTTTAATCTCGAATATTTTGGTCCCACTTATTTTTATGACAAAAAAGTTGTAAGTTCGAATATTGATCCTTACTAAAAGAAAATTAATTCATATTTCTCTTTATCGTTCATTTTCGTTTACTTTTCACTGGTGGCAAGGTTTAGGGTAAGATTTAAATTGTAATTTATATAAAAAAATATTATAATTTTCTTATAAAATAAATTAGGCAAAATTAAAGTTTTCGCAGGATTTATTGTTTCATGAAGAGCGTTTTCTCACCGTCTATTATCTGACCAAACAAGAGCCACCAGAAGGCAAAATGAATCTAGACCCACATGGCTTGCTTAATCACTTGGCTTCATCAATCAAAACCAAATACAAAGCTATTGCCAATACCAACTAGATTTATTTATTGGCATGCCAATAACTTCTGGATTATGCTAAAATTATTTTTAACTAATTACAAATATTTTTTATAAAATTAGAATATTACGTTTCTGTCAGACATATTTATCAACGTCTCAGCAGTGTAAAAAAATAACAAAGTATAAAATATATTATTTCTCTAAACATAATATTAATATTTTTACTTATTTAAAAATAATCAAATATTTATTTGTTAATTTAAATATTTATTTGTTATTATAGTTTTCTATAGATGTAATCGGCGTTATTCTCGTTATCGTGATTATTAACTATTAAACGAAAAAATTGAGAAGGATTTAATTTCTGTTATCAAGACTTTATAATATTATTACAAAAGGAAAATAAATTTAGCTGTTACCGTCGATGGCTGGCTGTTCGCCAAAAAGTGACAGAAAAAGGAAAGAAATACGGTAAGTAACAGCTAAGTTTAAAAGCGAGAAAGAAAGCAGTGTGAGAAGCAGGTGTAATTTTGTCATTTTACCGACCAATAAAACTGGTGGATTTATATTAATATAACAATTAACACTCCTATATTTTAATTTCTTATCGGATAAATTTTTTTTTTAAATATTGCCTACGAAATGCATAAAAGTAAATCAAGAAAAAAAGAAAGGGAAATAAAAATTTTTTAAAAAAAATAGTTAATCCAAAATATTTTTTCCTCAAAATTCTCCCATCCAGACCAAAGTTTCACGACCCGGCACAACATCTCATTATCTAAACATCAAAATAGTATACTTAAAAGACTACCTCAAGCGACGGAAAAAAAAAATCAAGAATCAGCGTACAATCACAACTAGTTTCTTTCAACTTCTTCATTCAGAACCATAAATTGCAAAAGACTCGATTCTTTTCCTTCTAATTATCTCGCCTAGCGCCAGACCTTCGACGAGCGGGCGCAGCAGCAGCCTCTTCCTTCTCTTCTCCATCCTTCTCTCCACTGCTACTTTGATCCTTGGAACTCTCTGCTGCAGCACCTCCGCTCTTCTCTTCTCTTTTTGCCTGCAACCAAATATTAGGAAAGAACAGAAAAAACTTAAATCCCTCCTCCTTCCCAACTTCTTTTCAGCTTAAAGATTCATAAAGATAATTATTTTAACACCCACCGGCACCGGCACCGGAACCGGTTGTTTCTTCCCTCCGAAGACTAATCTCAATAATACGGTGAAGAAAACCACCAATACGGAGACGATGATGCCAATGGTGAGATTTGGTTGCTTCTCTCCCTTTTCAATGACATCCTGCATACATACATCACGTTCAATACAGGGCGTACTAGATAAACAACCTATATATTATAGATGCAGAGAAAGACAGGGTACTTGCTCACTTACAAGTATTTTTGACTTGTATTGACTTAGGAAGGGAATGTCGGCAATCTTGTATAGGACATCGAATACTTTCTTCTGCAGGGTAACCACGAAAGCCAGGCGTGAGGAAAAATTTCTATGTTTTCTATAAATGACATAACTAAAAAACTGATATACTGGCTGTGGTGAATGGAACTAAAAATAAGTACCTGGTATACTGCAAGCCCATCTGAACCAGCAGCAGCAGCTTCCTCGGCCTTCTGCTTCTCTTTCTCGACTTCAAACTTTGGCTTCCATTTGGTATCACGGTATGAACTTGCAATTTTCTCATCTTTGGCGATCAAAATATTGTCAAACAAGATACCATCTTGCATCGTCCAGATCTCAATTCCAATTGCAGCCACGGGATCGAAGTCAGGTTTTTCAATTTCAAAGTAGCTGGGGTTAGGAATCTGCCTAGGCTTCCAAATTCCCTTGTAGTTAGGATTGTCGATTTCTGAGGCGTGCCACTTACCCTTGTATTCGGGATTACTCTTCATTGGTCTCTTCCATTCACCACAGCCAGGAGATATCTCACATCTCGGGTTATCAATCTTGGGTGCCTCCCATTCACCATCCTCTTCATCATCCCAGTCTTCTGGTTTGGTGGCATCAGGATCATCTATCTCTTCGGGTTCATCATCTAACCATCCTTCAGGCTTTTCAGCTTCCTCATCTTCAATTTCCACTGGAGCATCCTCATCCCAGTCATCTGGCTTAACTGCAAGAGGATCAGGAATTTTCGCTCTCTCATCCCAGTCCTCTGGCTTCTTGTCGTCTGGATCAGGAATCGTCTTGGCAGGGATTAGAGGAGGCTCAAAATCATCCTCGGAAAGGAAATTGGCTTTCTTCTTCTCACTCCCATCAATGAGAATTCGCACATTATTGCCAGATTCAAAAATGGCGGTGTAAACATGAGACAATTTGTCAGATGGAACGGAAGGAGGGTTCTTTAGATGATGCTCAACGTACTCTCCAGTCTTGGGGTTCTTATGCTTCAAGATGAAGTGCACCTTGTTCGTGGCCCCGCACTTGTCAGGTCCAAACATGATGGAGTAAGGAGATTCATTATCGAATTCCTTAGCTTTCCATCCAGCATCTTGGGGCCGTAAGTATTTCAGATAGGCACCACCACATTCAAGCCCATTTTGTAGGCGAGTCTCGAACTGGAGAACCACAGTTCCGTCCTTCAGACTCACTGGCTCATCGAGCTCTTTAACAATGGCGTATTTCCTCGCCTTCTGACTCACTAATAGTCCGTAATCTTCATGTCCCTCACTCGTAGAATGCTTCCAGACACCTATAAAATACAACAGAATTATAAGTTACATTAGCAACTCCCTCCAATCAAACCGCTTGCAAGACTATATATCTATAAATCCTACGTTAATTCATTATTCCGCCATATTAACGCCATTAACTACTCTTATTCATTCAAATCCAAATAAAAACTGCTCGCAATTAGATAAGGATGTAACTCCACCCCATTGTCTCACTATAGTCAACCATCTCAATGTCTGGAAAGACATAATTTTCCGCTCAGATACAATTCTCCAATAAGAAATGATGCCAGCCCATCGAAGTAAATTTAATAAATTATTTGGCTCATAAACAAGCCTTAGAAAAATGCAACACACAAATTATTAAATCAGAGACGACGTAGTAACAAATAGATGATAGCGACTGAAGGAAGGTGCGTTTAAATGGTTATTCCCACCCCCCACGCAAAAAGAAGGAAAGCATTTCCAGCATCCAACAGATAATCGAATACACGATCCATTCACTCGTTACTTCACTTCTTTTTGACACATCGATTAAGCAATACATACATTGAGCTGGAAAGAATTCGGCATATGCAATGATTACAAAAGATCGTGGAATAATCTTGAAAAACAAGAAAGAAAAACCAACCTTGATAATCATCCTTCTCGGACACGATCCAGCGTCCTTCAAAGCTCTCGTCGAAGGACTCGTACAAGATCTGAACTCCACGAAAACAGAAAAGTTAAGACATGTAAATTGGAGTTTCAGATATAGAGTATTCCCATTAGATCTTTATCTAATAGAAGTAGTATAGAAATGAAGGCACAAACAAGCTCAAACAGATTACCTCGTCGTCCGATGCTCGGAGCTGAGCAAGTGAAAGACAAAAAACAAGCAAAGCCGCAGCAAGCCCTAAAGGAACCGCCTTCATCTTCTGGATCTCAAACCCTAGACACTCTGTTCAGCCTTAGTAGATTAGATCCCGATCAGAAAAACAAATCTCTCTCAAAACATTTGAAGAGTCCGGCAAACTTCTCCGCCCCCTTTCTACTCTTCCATATTAATAGATCTCCAAGCACTTCCATTGCGTTGTTTCCACCAATCAAATCCCGTGCCACGTGAAACCAGCCAATGGATATGCGCCACGTAGTCAACTTCCGCAAGATCGGAGACTTGTCTGGTTTGGTTACGTCGATTACTGGGCTTTGTTTCTTCGGGTTTCTGAAGGAAGGCCCATTTCTTCTTTCTTTTTGCAGATTAGGCCCATTTCTTCTCTTAAAGGCGAGTTGTCGTTTCACCTTAAAACGACACTTTCGCCTGCAGTGCCCAATCAGCGCTCGCCCTTTTTCCACGAGCCAACATGTGTCCCTTTTTCCTTCGGGATTTTATTTTTGGCCTCCTTAATATCTTCCTGAATACTTTTTTGTTTTATTTTTCTTGATAAAAATAAAATAACAATAAAAAATAGGCTACGTCTTTTCTATATATTTTGCAAGCTATATTTTCACTTTTTAAATCTCGTAGAATAGTGATCAAATGTTTTACATCTTTAACAATATTATCATTGATATTTCGTAAAATTGAAAAATGATACTATGTATTATAAATTACTGTTAATTTGTTAATTTTATGTTGAGTAAATGCATTTATAGTTTTGTTTATATTTTTTTTCTTTACAACATGTGAGACTTAGGAGTGGGGATCGAACTCACAAACTCTTAATTTGAGATATATGTCAATTATCGTTGAGTTAGGTTCGTTTTATYAATGAACCAGTTTTCATTGTTTTTTCTTATATAGATTTTATGTTAATTAAAACCTCTATTTTAAAAATTCATTGCCATGTCACATTTTAACGAAAAATTAACCAAATAATGGTTTTGAGACCATTTTATTAACTGTCGAGGGTATAAATAAAACTTTTAAAATATAGAGCATAATTGAAAGTTATAAAAGTATTTTGTATAATATAATCTACATTCTAATATAAATTGGACGAGACATTATTTAAGTATAACATGGATAATAGCCTACATTAACTATTTTTTTTTTTTTTTACATTTCAAGCATTGACTATGAACATGAACTATAAAAGATATTGGTATCATTTCTCCTTAGATATTTTTTCTATATGGTATATAGAGGAGAAATATTATTGAAAGTTTATTGTTTTGGATATGATGTACAACGCTCGTTTAAAGTACCATGACATGTTTATTGGGTCCTGCAGTTTATTGGACTCCTTATAAGACTCTGATCAAGTGTTTAAGCTTAGATAACTATAATTAAACCAGAATATATCTATTCTCACTTAAGTAAAACTCTATATATATATTATTGATTCAAATGTTAGAAACTAGAATCTCTATTCCGTGTATTGTTGAACTTAAAATAAAAACTATAGACGCTCAATCTCAAGTGAGATTTGTACTATCAAGCATCTAACCACTCAAACACTTACCTAAATTTTACAACTTTTTGTTTTTTTTTCTCATCTTAATTCTTAACTAGGTTATGACTCATTTCAAATCATTAGACTCATCTAAGTTAATCGGCTTCTCAATCTCACCTAGACTAAATATCAAGCTCAAGGATTGCCATATTTAGATAGTTGAAGTAGCTAGAGGTATCTAAGCTAACCATGTTGGCAAGTCGCTATCCATATATATTTTGTGAGTTAATAATGTTTTAGGCACAATTTACCATATTTAACCAAACTATAAAAATTATATTGAAATGTTTAAAATTATAGAGATCAAATTGAATCTTACCTAAACTTAATAGATTAAATCAGCATTTTTAAAATTGACCAAATTAAACTAAACTCAAGTGACCAAATCAATAATTTAATAATTTTTTTATTTTAAAAAAGTTACCCATAAACCATAACATAAAATATATAATTTTCAAACTATTAAGGAAAAAAAAAGGATATTTAAAAAAAAAAATTCATTTTAGATACCAAAATCACAAGGGTTAAAAATCACATTTGACTCCTGTACTTTCAGTAAAGTTGCGATTTGGTTGATGTACTTTCAAAAGTAACAATTTAGTCCTTGTACTTTAAATTTGGTTACAATTTAGTTCTTGCCGTTAAAAATTATGTTAAATTTAAGGTTTATCTACGTGTATAAATTAAAGGTCAACTATGGGTTCGGTTCACTACAAATTGGTTGAATCTTAGACCGGGTTAGGACTTGGAAAAAAAAAGAATGAACCGTCATCTTCTTCACCTGCACTCTTCTTCTCGACTCATTTGAAGCTCCGAATGGGTGTGTCCGTCATTCGTGTTCTTCACAATGAGTTCTCAAACTCTCAAATCGTCTGGACCTGAAAACTCTCCGACTAATCGCCACCACATAGAGATACTCCATCTCCTCCCTCTCCTCCCGCCTTGCCATGGTCGAATTGAAGCAAAGGATTCTGGCAAGTTTCTCCCTCGTCGCTGCCATGTTCTTGCTTTCATTTTAGGTTTTTTGTAAGCCGATGAAGCCTGAAATCACAATGAAAGTTCCATTTCACTATTGTTGTTTCATTTCCACGAGATTTTTGAGATTGGGGTTCTTTTTTTTTTGTGAATTTAAGATTTAATTTTCTTCAATTGCAGAGCATTACTTCAAAATTCAAGCCGGTTCCGATTTCATCAACGTTGCCACTAACCTGGCCTCTGTAAATTCCACTGTGAAACTCACATTTTGGAACACCGATCATTCTTCAGCGTCGATCTCACATCAATTCCCGTCGATTTCATATACTATAAAATCTCAGTCACATCAGGAAGCCCACAAATTACTCTCAATTGCCCTTTTCTTATACTCTGGACGAGAAAGCCAACCGAGGGATCCTCTGCTTCAGTTCGACCATGGCGAGGAGAGATGATGTGCAAGATCTCAATGTCGGTGGTGATTTGGTTGGGGGATTTCGAGGGTCTCGACGATTTAAGAGCTTGAGAACTCGAACAACACTAATGGCGGACACACCCACCTTCAAATGGGTAACAAGAATACAAGAATGCAGGGAAGAAGATGACGATTCATTTTTGTTTGTTTAAGCCCTAACCCGGACTAAGATTGAACCAATTTGAAGTGAATGGAACCATTTGTACACATACAATAGCCACGTCATACTTCCGTTAAATTTAACATAACTTTTAACAGTAGGTACTAAATTGTAACCAAATTTAAAGTAATAAATCGTTACTTTTAGAAGTACAAGAACCAAATCGTTACTTTWCTGAAAGTATAGGGACTAAATGCGATTTTTAACCAAACCACACATCAATCCAACTTCATCCCTTTTGTTTTACTTGTCGAAAATAAAAATCATATATTTATCATAAACCAAAATCATAGTTTAATTAGAATTATATGCTAATGGAAATACTTAAAGATTTACACGTGTATGGCGACCGGCCAGCACACCGTGAAATCAAATCACCATTCACCATTCGCTGTGTCATTGTGCTCGTGCAACCCGCAACATGAATAGTATATTAATCTTTCAAGTTTAATCTACGATTTTCAATCGATTTGATGTATATTAATTAATTGAAATATATTCTTTCAAAAAGAAATTTAATTGAAATATATATTTGTTTAATCTCAAAATGTTTATCAAATTATTAACTTTCACTGGTCAACACTCTTAACACCTGATAGTCGATAAATGGAGAGAAAGATCATGCAAGACACTACCAAAATTTGTCCAAGTAAATGCTGCCCACGTTCGTAGATATCATGGCGGGCAGATCGTCTCTTTATTCTTTCTGTTATAAATGACGATTGATCTCCAATTCTACTCACCTGAAATTACTCCTCGCAGTCGTCGATTTCGATGGCGCTTGCAGTTCCCGGTGCTGCTCCGGCAGGTTTAACATATTTTGACGATAACGGCGAATGTGCGGAAAAGGAAAAGCAGATATCGGTGGATCCGATATCATTGAGAGAGTCATCGGCGACGGCGAGAGAGGACATGATCGTCGTTCCTGCCATTTCTTCTCCCGACGCCGGTGATCTTCATCTGCCGCCGCCGCTGCCTCCGACGCAGTCCAAGTTCTTAAGCTATAGCCTACCTAATTCGGTCAATTCATCCCCCCAATTTGGCGCGGGATTAATGAAAAAGAGAGGGAAACTTGAAAATCAAGAATCGCGGCTTAGAGTCTCCAATTCGACGAAGATCAAACCGTCGGTGCTGGATCCACAGAATGTTTTGAAGGAGGTGACTCAATTTCGAAGAAGCAAGTCGTGTGGCGAAGGCAGAGCCAGTGCTCCAGCAGATGATTTGGATCTGTGGCTGAACAAACCAAATTCTGTAGAAACCAAGAATTACGGTGATGGTTTCTCCAGAACTGAATCTACCAAAGATGATCGAAAGAGTGCAAAGGGAATAGAGTCCACGGATGACGGATTTAAATGTGGAGCTCTCTGCCTGTTCTTGCCGGGCTTCAGCAAAGGGAAGGCGGTCAGATCAATCAGAAAGGAAGAAGAACCAGAGATTGGAAATGTGATGATATCCAAGACCGAAATTGAAAGTGTGATATCAAGAACCGTTTCTCTGGAGAAATTCGAATGCGGATCATGGGCTTCGTCCGTCCTGCCAAATGATACTGGCGACGACGACTCCACGAACCTTTTCTTCGATCTGCCTATGGAGTTAATAAGAAGCAGCGTAGACGCAAATGCACCGGTCAGTGCAGCTTTCGTTTTCGATAAAGATCAGAAGGTAGTTACCAAGAACAGCTCGACGAAATTAGTCCGAAAATCGCATGAATCATCTCATCATGTTCACTTTTCTGCATCGTCTCCTTCTTCAGGGCCAGCCTCACCAGCTTCTTGCATCACACCTAGATTGCGCAAGGCAAGAGAGGAGTTCAATGCCTTTCTAGAAGCTCAGAGCAGTGCTTAAGCATTGAACTCTGTTTTTAGGTACTTAGCTGATAATTCATGAACTGGTATCTTCTCCAAAACCAGAAACGATCTAAATTTGTTTTATCACAGAATCATGAAAACTAGTTTAAATGGCTTGTATCAAATTAAATGTTAGATCGATTTAATCATCAAGACCATTTGATTAAGCACCAATTACTACCTTCATGAAACCACACTCTCTCTTTTTCCAGAAGGTGACAAACTGAGCATTCTAGAATATAACCCTTGGTTTGTGAAACCTTCTTAATATATTAATATAGCCTATCTGATAAATCAGTACATTTTCTTTCATCCAAGGAGATCATAAATTTGTTTCTTATAATAAAAGAAGTCATTGCTCTGAAAACAGACCGATCTTGATCATTAAACATATTTCTCAAGAATATGGATCTGTCTGCATCTTCTCATAATCTGCTGTTCTATGACTATAAACGTGCAGGAGCTGATCGCAAACTTGACGAGATGATGGCCTTTCTTGAGGGGCAGTTTTCGTGCATTGTAGAGCTATTTCAAGGACTTGGAACGCTGCAGATTCTTCGTCGAGCGACAGCGGCTTCAAACACGGGTCTACCAACTCCTCCCTATCAGCAATACTCTGCATTTCAATGCGTGTCTCTACCCACCTTACCATGTCCATATCCACCCCAAAAGCTTCATCTATAGGCATCTTTCCACTTACGAGCTCCATCAGTACAATTCCCATGCTGTAAACATCACTCTTTTCTGTTGCCTTAAGAGAATAAGCATACTCTGGGAAACAAAAATATGCACCAAATATCTGTTAGGATAACTACACACACACCCACACACATTCATCAACTAACAAACACTGCACGAGTTAAGACGGTGAAATACCTGGGGCTATGTAGCCATACGAACCAGCGAACCATGTTTTTGACTCTGTGTCGGTGTCGTAGTCCTCGACGAGGGCTTTTGCTAGGCCAAAATCCCCCAGATGTGCCTCCATATTGGAATCGAGTAGGATGTTGCTTGACTTGATGTCCCTATGGATAATTTTGGGCAAACAGTCATGGTGAAGATATTCCAGTCCCTGAGCCAAGCCAACAGCAATCCTGAATCTTGCCTCCCAATCAAGCTTCTTTTTCTTCTTCCCACTAACTGGTTGCTGGTGCAACCAGTCCCAAACACTTCCATTCTCCATGTACTCATAAATCAACAGATTTGAGCCTCCTCCTCTGTTCATGCAATATCCCAGAAGTTTCACAAGATGCCTATGCTTTATCCTTCCAAGTGTCTTGACCTCTCTTACGAAACTTCTGTTTAATAAAAGATCATCTTTGCACGATATATTCTTGACTGCAACAGTTTCACCGGTGTGCAATTCGGCTCGATAGATTGTTCCAGATCCTCCTGAGCCGATAATGAAATCATCGCTTAAATTGTTTGTGGCCTCCATGATTTCTTCCCATTTGAAATCTAGATTTCCAACAGGGTTATGGAAAAGCAGTCTTCTCTGTGCTTGGGAAGAACTAGATGAATAAATGCAGTTGACTTCACTCCATCTCTTGAAAGTTTCTTGTTTGTGTTTATAGAGAAGGGCAACTGTAAGCACTAGAACCGCCATTCCTGCCAAAGTTGAAACTGCAGATATAGCTATCACCGCTGCTTCACTCAGACCCGATCCTCTTGCAGAAGCATCACCACAGCGGGCAAGAGGGCCTCCACAAAGTTGGAGATTTCCTTGGAATACATTAGCTGGCCAGTGAGAGAATTCCTTGTCCAATTTCCCTTCTAGCTTGTTGTAAGCAAGATCGAGCTTGCCCAAACTGCTCATCTTACTAATATCTGAAGGGACTTCTCCAGTAAGTTCATTGTGAGATAGATCAAGCGCTTCTAGTTTGGACAGCAAAGTAATAGAGGTTGGAATTTCACCAGTCAGATTATTGTAACTGAGGTCTAATATGCTCTGTAGATTCTGCAGTTGGGAAATCTCAGCTGGTATTTCCCCATTGAAACCATTTTTCGACATGTGAAGCTCAAATAGTTTGCTCAACCTACCAATTGTCGAAGGGATTGGACCCGAAAACCGGTTATCCTCAAGGTGGAGGATGTTAAGTGATGCCAGGTTACCAATTTCCATAGGCAATGTTCCATTAAGTAGATTTCCATTAAGAGAGAGCACAATCAGTTTGGAACAATTGAATAACTCCGAAGGCAGAGGCCCAGTGAACTGATTGGAAGAGAGCTTAATCTCTCCCAACTGAGGCAATCTACCCAACCACATCGGTATATTTCCAGAAAGAAGGTTATTATTGAGATCAAGGTGGCTCAGTTTCCTGCACAACGAAAGCTCAACCGGAATAGACCCTGTAAGAGAATTCCCAGACAGATCCAACAATGACAGTGCACGAATCTTCCCCAACGCCGGCGGAATTTGGCCGGAAAACTGGTTGTTCCCTAATCTCAGCCTCTCAAGGGAGGACGAGTTTCCCAATTCGGGAGGAATTTCATTCTCAAACGCATTGTTAGTGAGGTCGAAAGAAAGCAGAAAAGGGGAGGCACACAATGGAGCAATGCTCCCATTCAATCTGTTTTTGGATAGATTTATTCTCGTAGGGTTTGCTAAATTGATCAACGAACGAGGAAGATTACCTTCAAGAGAGTTGTTGTAAAGCATGAGCTGCTCCAGAGATCCGAGGAAACCGAATGTTGAAGGAACCCCACCAGAAAGGCGATTGTCCGCCAAGTCCAATATGGTCAGTTTATGACAGTTCCCCAAAGTGGCGGGAATTTTACCCACCAGTTCGTTTTGCCTGAGATGAAGGAAATTCAATTCCCTCAGTCTCCCAATGCTCACCGGAATTTCCCCACCGAAACGATTCCCGAAGAAATCAATCATCTGCAAGTTTGAACAATTCCCCAACTCGAAAGGAATTCTCCCAGATAATTGATTGTCGTATAGATATAGAATCTCAAGTTCCCCAAGCATGCCAATCTCACGTGGAAGATTGCCCTGTAGATTGTTATGATACAGAGCCAGAGTCTTCAAACTGCTGCAGTTTGCTATCGACGGTAAAATTGAACCCACCAAACTGTTGTTATGGAGGAGGAGATCAGTCAAACCACTTAACCCATATAATTCATCCGGAATCGACCCGTTTAATCTATTGTTAGACAAATCAATCTGCGCCAGTGATCTGCATTGGACCAACTCCACCGGAATCTCGCCGGAGATTTGTATCTGAGATAGCATCAGGTGTTCTAAACTGGAAGCATTGGAACATAAGTTTCTCGGAATGACACCAGAGAGATGATTGTTCGATAGAACCAAGAACACCAAGCTTCCCATTTTGCCCATTTCCTCTGGAATCCCCCCCGAGAGCTTGTTCATAGACAAGTCCAGATTCTGGAGATTTCCCAATCCAGAAAGAGAAGTTGGAATTGAACCCTCGAGTTGGTTTCCCATTAGGTTCAGATAAACAAGTTCACTGAGTTCCCCAAGTTCCACCGGAATCTCGCCGGAGAGAGTATTATTGGCAAGGTTTAGAATTTGGAGATTCTGTAAGCGGCCCAATTGCTTTGGTATTGACCCATTGAGATTGGTAGCAGCAGCAGTGAAGACGACAAGGCTTGAGCAGTTCCCGATGTCTTCCGGAATCGGACCCTCGAGTTGATTTTGCTGCAGAACCAACTCCTCAACTCGGCCGAGTTTACCGAGTTCTGGGGGTATCGAACCGGTGAGACTACACGAGGCCAAACCAAGAGTAACCAAATTCACAAGATTTCCGAAGGAAGCGGGAATGGGACCCGTAAGTGCGTTGTCACCGATTCGCATGACTCGTAGACTCGCCAGCGAGCCCAACTGAGTCGGAATCGGTCCACTGAGTTGGTTGGAGAAGAGAAGCAAAGATTCCAACGAATAGAGTTTAGAGAGGTTTGTTGGAATGGGACCCATAAGGCCGTTGCGGGAAAGATCAAGGTGGAGCAGGTTCCGTAGGCTGCCGAGTGCCGGCGATATGGACCCACCGAGTGATGACTCAGAAAGGTTGAGTCCCAGCACTTGAACCGAGCCATCCACCGAGTCAGACCCACAGGAAATCCCTCTCCAAGTGCAGAAATTTGGGTTGCTCTCCGACCAATCCTCCAAAACTTTTTCTGGGTCCTCCACAAATGACTTCTTTATCTCCAAAAGCACGCTCAAACTCGAACCACCATCCAACTTATCCTCGCACAAAACTAACCCAGATGGAATAACCAAGCACACGAAACAGAGCACAAGAAGAAATGGTAAAAACCGAGCAGAGCAAGCCATTGTGCAGCAAATGCAAGTAATGAAATTGCAAGAGACAATGATCAGAAGTATATATTATGAGAAGAGTGGAATTTTAGCTCTGTCAAGTAAAATGGGATTGGGCAGTGGTTCACGGATGGGAGAAGACGCGTGGTGAATTGCATGGGAGAGGAGCTATGGTTTCTCGAACTCTGCAGATAATAATGGCTGCATGCTTCGAAAAGATGGAAATTTGCAGAGGAGAGGCTGAATGAAGAAAAATTAAGAAGCGCCACCAATCTGCCCCTCAGCCAACTGCCATAAATGACTGCCGGATTCCTACTGTGCCATTAATTTTTCTTCCTTTCAGATTCTCCAACTCCAAGAGAGGCATCAGATAAGTACTTCTTCTCTCTGCTTTCATAATTCCAAAACAATAAATGGAGCATGCCCAAGGTCAAAAGGGGGAGTCAGAGAAAACCACATTATAAAATTAAACAAAAGTGAGAAAAGAAAAAACCCCCAAAAAGGGAAAAGGCAAAATATTTTTGTGAGATGGGATTCTTTAATTTGTGCAGAAAATGAAATTGGAGTACAGTAGTTGGGGGGAGGGACAATATGAGAGCGATGGTGGGTTTGCTTGTCATGATGTGTTAGCTAAAAGATGAGTGAAAACCAACTCTGTAGAGAAAGCGAGCAGTTGAAGTTCCAATTATATATAATATAAACGTTAATTGGCTTAGAGTTTGTACTTTGAAAATAAGCAGCTTTTGTAAAAGTCAAAGGAGTCCCACACAATAGTTTTGATTATTTCCCCCACGTAATCAAAACCAATTCCACATTTCTCAAAACACAATGAAAAAGAGAGGAGAGAATATCCATGCAATATTTATTAGGTCTTTTTAAACACTTTTGTTGGCTTGATCCACCCCTACCAAATCCTCGTGTCTTTTTCTGCTTTGATTTTGGTTGGCTATTCCCACTGTTTTACTCTATTATGGTCATCTTGGGTACGTAAAAACCAACTCGGGATAATTTTGCCTTGCTATTTCACAGTTTTACTTATCCCTTCGCTTGCCTCTCTTTCTGACCTACTTGAATAAAGTCCCCGATACAAGTTTCCATGGCTGATTTTATTGCTTAAATTCTCTCTCTATAATAACATATTTCGTGAGTATGCTTGAGATGGGGTAGTTCAGCTCGACTCCAATTTGAGAGGATTTTGTTGATGGTAGATCTGCTCATAGCTAATAGAATGTCACTTCTATCGTAGGAGATTTACTACGGACGTTGATCTTTTATAAAAGAAAGAGTCTCACCTCCTAAAGTATGAAATTTTTAACACTTTACTAAATTTGGCTCGACATTTGCTTGAACGAAATATTAAGTTAAGCTTTATGGTCGAACATCACATTGATGCAAGGTTCTATTGCGAGTTGTCAGCTACTCAATAGATCCAAAACTCTACCTCAACTTCATGTGGTGACATGTCGCCTCGGTCAAAATTTGCATCAAACATCTAATTTGAACTATTGAAATCTCTTCTACTTGATTTCTAACTTCCTWTATACATGTAAAGTTCCAATGGTGAACAATATTAGAAAGTAAATACTAAATATAGTGTAACAAATATTGAATATTGTTTTTAACATGAGTATATAATTCAATCTATTAAGATACTTATAGTAATTGGTTTCACATATTTGTGTTTGTTTTATGTAAATGAATAATGAGTGGTAAATTTCCATCTCATAGCCTTCAATTGTAGCCATTGATTTTGTATACAATCGAAGGAGAACTCCATGGGACGACTCTTAATCAAAGAGGATATTTAGATTATAGAAACTCCCAAACCCAAACCAAGAGGCTGAATATATAAAAATGCAGTGCTCTGTAGATAAGGGTGGTTATGAATTCAATATTGTCTTGGCAAATAAGAAAAGTAATCGAATTTACTTATTTTTTTAATTGTTTTGTCTTTTCAATTTAATCCATCAATTATTAGCTGTTTGTGAGGACAATGGACACCATTTTCTCATCTTATTTTAAAGAAATCTCTCGTAGCGCACACACTTGAATTATGGCAATTTTATAAGTAAAGTATGACACAATTTTTCGTCATTTCTCGCAAATCTCTCCTTCACGAGAAAGCTACAAAGGGAATAAGAATATTGTGTCCTTTTCTTTGGTTCCTTCATTTTCTTGGGTTCAATAGTTGAACTATTGTCCTGTCCTTGAGGAATATTTGCAGTATCCACATTGATTCACATCTTTAAAAAAAATAGAAATAGTTTTGGCTATAATTGAAAGAAAAGTACATAAATGCTCACTTATTACTATTCATCATTCCGCTGACAACTATAAAAAATAGAAAAGTTGTATCTATTTTTCTACCGTTCTATTTCTAGCTACTTATATAAAATTTAATGGTGATCAGTAAAATATGGATGATGACGGATAAACACTAAGTAATTATTCTATTGATGTCTATAATTGTTGTTTTAATTCATGTTTAGTTGTTCGAACATAGTCTAAATGGATAAGGCACCTATTACTATCCTCAAAATATTGAYGATTCATCGTCCACGCAATGGTTGAACTAAAAAAATACAAAAGAAAAATCACCTTCATTGCTCCTTAGAGTTTGATTTCAAGGAGTTATTCTCCTTCTTCATGGGTTTTGAATCATATTATTATATTCTAACAGTAATTTTTAAACAACATTATAATTTTTTGCCTTTTATTAATAAATTGTGTCACTAGCTGGTTTTTTTTTTCTCTAAATAAGAATACATATGTTATGTACCACGTAATTGAAGAATAAAATGAAACATAAATAAACCATATGGAGGTGTTTAATATCAATTGATTCTGTCCATTTAATATAGTTTCAAGCTTGAAATTTCTGGCAATGGGTCTATAATTATATAGAAGAAAAGTCAATAAATTAAAGGCACATCTCATTTTAGCAAGTCACTTCAAGGCAGGTTATTTAAATTTAGAACAAGGATTACAAATCTTATCTCTTTAAGGACCACATTTAATAAGCTAATGAAAGTAAATTAATGATGGAATTACTTAATAGTATGTTATAAGCAAAGCAATAGGGAAACCTGAATCACTTGTTTGTTTGGGCTATATATGGGAGTTGAGGTCAAAGCAGGTAGCTGAACCAAACAATTAATTAAGTTAATTAAGAGATTTATGACATTAAAAAAAAAGATGCCTTGTCCAAACACAGTTCGACAAGAAACTGTAAATTAATAATAGTTTGCAGATGCATTTAATCATCGACACTTGGAGGATGAAATTATTAAATTTGATGTATAAGCCAGCGGATCATAATCCAAACCACTCTCCTAATGGTGGTGATGTTTTTTTCCGTACAACGATCGAACTTAAGTGGAGATATATGTCAATTACCGTTGGATTATACTCGCTTTTCATATGTTAATGTTGTTAATGTATCTTATTTTGATTAATTGTTTTAATATCGATTTTCCTTTTTTTCCGATTAAATGGTAATTATCGTGAAGCGAACAAGAATATTAAAAAACCTAATTTCCATAATATTTAAGCAAATAAACTTGAGTTCAAATCCTCTCACTAATAATAATTTCATTTTTTTTTTGCAATGGTTTTTAAAAATAGTTTTCTGAAAGTAACACTTTTATACAACAAGTATGTACCATCTTCTAAGAGATGATGTAAAGTGACAAACAGTTATAACCTTGAGGTACTACCTACTTTGAAATCTCTAGTTCGAGTTCTTGTTAGTCACAGGTATGATATCGAATTCTAGTATAGAAATTTACTATCGTAAACCACAAGACATCAATTTCATTAAAAAAAACAGTAAAACCAACTTAAATGAGTTAATTTTGTAAAAAAGAACTTCATGTTTACTTTAGATTTCATACTTTTATAAATTTTAGGAGGAAAAAAAATTAAAGAATCTGAGAAAATGTCCGAGAGTTGACTTTTCAACAAGAAATCACACATATTGTTGACCAAAGAAACAAGTTTCATTAGATCCAATAAATTCACCTATATATTTTACTATAATCACACAAAAGTTGAAAACAAGTCTCAACAAAGTTTAACTTTTTTCAATAAAATGTCTTTTAAGCAAGATTAATATTTACTCTGTACCTTGCGTAACTCTGTAAATTATTAATCAGTTAGGCTTAAAAAAAAGAAAAAAGGTAATTAATCTCCATATAAATTGCCCCTAAATCGAGTATTATAGACACTTTGATCAACACTTACCCTAATAAAGTGCGCATTGACATATACTTTGACAAACACCACACTTTAATTTTATCAATAGTTTTGATATTTTTTATTTAATTTACATTTATTTGGTTATTACTTTGAAATCTACCTCACTTTGTAATTTTTTAAACTGGATTATTCTAAAAATTAATCATATTTTTATTTCTCAACATATTGGAAACATCCATCTAAAATATTTTTATGGGATAATTTGATTTCTCACGTTTTACCATTATTAATTTGTCGAACGAGCCATTTGGAGTGTGAGTTCGATATTTTTAATCGACAAATACTTAAGTGTTAACTATAATCAACACTCACGTATTCTACCTGTCATCATTAAACATTTGATAGGTAGAAAGAGATATATATTCTTTTTATGTTTTTTAATATTTTGAGGATAGTGATAATCAGAAGTACGATAATGTTAGACAACCAACAACTAAATATTTTTCTTTTTAACATGAGCATTTGCAAAATCAGGCAAATCTACCACAAATATGAATTTGATATCTTAAATTAAATTAAAAAAAAAAAAACTCATACTCAAACTCAAACATCCTAGATACAAAACAATAGAATGCATATATAAATTCGAAAAATATTCGCCTCCTCACACAGAATACATTTTTCTCTTTTAATTGTCAAACCTCTGGCAAATATTTTCCTATAAACCATTCAGAGAGATCTTATTAAATGAGATATTGGAAATTGGAAATGGTTTTTTTATTTCACAAATATAAACCTCAAATCAATTAAATGTTATCTTATTTTCAATTAAACCATCACTAGTTTGAGAAATGAAAGAGGTTACATTAATTACATTACAAAATATATATAAATTCTGCAATTATATATATATATATATATATAACTATTAAAATTGTCAACGACGTTAGAAGAAAAATTGCAATGAACATGCTAGCAAGTTCTCCACACTTGTAATGATACATTGAGGTGCGCCTCACGTAGTTCCACAATCATATTCCTCTCTCTCTCCAAATCATATATATATATTTAAGAGACACAGCAATTTCACTGAGACGACAAAAAAAGAAAAAGGAAAATATGAAACTGGTTGTGTTCTTCCCCCTTCTTTTCCTCATTCTCATTCTCACCTCCGCCGTGGCGGCCTACGAAGATTTCGAGGACGACGGCGAAGAATATTCGAGCCTAGAGGTTCCGCAGTTGCAGGAGTTCTCACCTTTCGATGATTTTCTTTCGTATGGTTTCTACCAGAAAAGATGTCCCGACGTCGACGCCATCATTCACCGGAAACTCAAACAGTGGTTTGATCAAGATAACACCATCGCCGCCAGCCTCATGAGGCTCCACTTCCACGACTGCGTCGTTAGGGTAACTCTTCCGTTACTTTTTGCTCTTCAATTTGGTTTTATAGTGCTAATTATTTTTTAAATTTTCAATTTCATACCTATGTATTATTCTTTTTTGTGCATTTACCCATCTGAGTATAGACTGAAACACTTATTTCTAACTAGAAGATTATGAATTCAATCTAACTCCGATATGTGTGTTATTCAAAAAATATATATTTAATGTAAGGGTTAAAATTTTATAAAGAAAATACTAATTAAAACTAAACTCAAATGTAATTTAAAATATATATAAAAAAATTTGAGTTACTATATTGGATTGAGATGTTGTTTCTTATGCATTTATGATATTGAATGAATTTTCTTCTACTTTTTAATTAAAATTTTATTCTCTCAGTGTTAAAATCAAATAATAAAATGATGATTTTCATAATTTTGAAAAAACTTACTTTCATTACATGTTACAAAGAATTGTTTCATTAGAATGTCATTATACTAATATATCTCACAAAAATTAATTTAAATTACCAGTTTGGTTTAATTTGTATCTAATAATTAAATCTTTGAATGTCTAATATATTTTTAAATTTTAGAAAATATTAAATAAGCTAATGAATTTTTAATTTTGTGTAGGATAGAGATTTTAAACTTTAATTTGGAGTACATAGATCCTTAAATTTACAAATTATCTCATTAACTCATTATTTATTAAACGCAACTTATATGTTGCGAGTTCTTTTAATATTTCTCAAAAGATAAGCAAAATATCTCGTGACCGTAAGAACTTAATTGAAAGAAATCAAATAGTACATCAGGGAGGAAATTAAAATTTATAAGATTAAGCAAAAAATATATATATATGTTTTTTTTTCCTGCGTCATCATTCTCAATTAGTTCGCGAAATTATCGCTGACATGGCGCGCCGTCGACGCGGGTGGTGCAGGGTTGCGACGGCTCCATTCTTCTTGATTACGAGGGAAGCGAGAGGAGGGCTCCGGCGAGCAAGACGCTGAGGGGATTCGAAGTAATCGACGATATCAAAGCGGAGTTAGAAAAAAAGTGCCCTAAAACAGTTTCTTGCGCCGATATTCTGACCGCCGCCGCCAGAGAGGCCACCGTGCTGGTGGGCGGCCCATATTGGATGGTCCCTTATGGAAGAAGAGACGGAGTCGATTCCATTGCCGAAGAAACCAAATTAGTTCCCATCGGAATCGAAGACATCACTTCTCTCATTCAACAGTACCAATCCCTCGGCTTGAATCTCGTAGATTTGGTCGTTCTTTCAGGTACCACAACAACAATTTAATTTCAAACCTTTCTTTTCTTCTCTCCAATTGTGAATCTGAATTTAATTTTAGGGTTTGAAATTGAATTGATGATTGCTCAGGGGCACACACCATCGGAAGGGCAACATGCGGCGCGATACAGAGCAGGCTTTACAATTACAGCGCGACGGGGAAGGCGGACCCATCGCTGAGCCCAAAATACTTGAATTTCTTGAGAAGAAAGTGTCGATGGGCGTCGGATTACGTGGATCTTGACGCCACAACGCCTAAGAAATTCGACAGCGCCTACTACTCTAATCTCCCTAAGAAAATGGGGCTTTTGTCGACCGATTCGGCTCTGTACACCGATCCAAGGACTGCTCCCATCGTCAAAGCGTTGGCCTACCAACCCGACATCTTCCGCCATCAGTTTGCTGTGTCCATGGCCAAGCTTGGAAATGTTCAGGTTCTTACCGATCTTTTCGAAGGCGAGATTCGAACCAATTGCAGCTGTAGAAATCCTCGTTGATTTTTCTGTTTCTTTCTCTTTATACTTTGTGATTTCCATTGCTGGCGCCGATCTATATATCGTTCTTCAACATTCTTTTTGTTGTTGGTTAATTTGCTCCATTGATGAATTCTGTTTCTTCTTAAGGACTGCACTCGTCTGTTATTGCAGAGATTCTCTGGTTTTGCAATCACCTACTTGAAGAATTAATTAATGACCTTTATATTGATGTTGAGTTTTCCTTTAGTTCAATTTCGCGCAATCTTTATGATTTGAATTTGACTTTATAAGACTTTGTAGTATCTATGGCTTTGAGTTTGGTTTTAATTTTATCCATATAGTTATAAAATTTTGAATTTATTTTTTTTGAATTTATTTTTTTTAGTACAATGTATCGGAGAGAGGATTCAAACTCATAATTTCTTGATTGGAGATATATGTCACCGTTCGATTTGTCATAAAATTTTGAATTTGATGTCAATGATACGGTGTTAAACTTCACTTTAAATTGTTATGTCTTATAATAAAAAGATTAACTCATTTTTTCTCTATTTTTTACTCCATTTTGGAGTGAGTTACTGAAGTTAATTACAGAATAAATAGAGAATTTGAATTTTCAATATTTTTAGTTGGATTAGCATTTTAAACTTTAAGCTTAAGCAGAGCGGTAAAAGCTTACTTTAGGTTTGGGTTGTAGCCTGTAGGTTGGAGTTCCTATTTCATATATAAAATGTAATATTTGAAAAAAATTAAACGAAATCAATAATTTGTTCAAAGAATTAAGTAAAATTGGCCGAATCGTATAAAATATGACAATAAATAAAATTGGGCAGACGAACATTGAGAATTTGCAGAAATTGGTCGCATGTAGGACTGAATAACCCTAAATTTTACCTGCCGGAGCAAACGACATTCAGAGAAGAAATGAAGACAATAAGGCAACGGCTTCCGCTGCAGCGTCTTCAACTTCCACCACAGTTCATCCAGAATCAAATTCCCGCCATAGATTCTCCATTTTATTCTTCTTCCTCGATTTCCGATTCTGAATCTGCGTCTGTAGCCAGCAAAACAAATACGACTCTGACCCAAGACGAGCTTACAAAGATCAACCTTCTCCTTCCTCGTCTCTGTCTCCACAGCCACCACTCTACTGCAATTACACTTCTCGACGCAGCTCTCCTCACAAATCCTTCACTTCAATCTCTTCCCCTTTCAATTCTTGCCCATTCCCTTGCTTCCCAGTCCGATTTTACCCACGCAATGTCCCTCCTCACCCGCCTCAAGCACCACCGGAATGCCAATCTCTATTCAAGCCCTATTATTACCATGCTCATTCACTCTTATTGTAAGCGACGGAAATTCAGGGAGGCCTTGAAGATTTTCCACTGGATGGGAAGACCGGGGTCGCCATGTAACCCGGACGAGAAGGTTTATGCAACCCTAATTGCGGGACTTTGTAGGCACGGTATGGTTCTCGATGCTTTGAAGGTCCTCAGGAATATGATTGGTTCGAATTTGGTTCCTGATAGCAATCTGAGGAATTGGGTTTTTAGGTCTTTGCTAAGAGAAGCGATGATTGGCGAAGCGATGGAGTTCAACGAGATTTTGGATCGCGTTGAAGACCAGAATTTGAGCAATCATCTGAGAAAGGTGTCAGAGTTGTTGAATCGTATCATTAACAATTGGATAGAGTAGAGAAGAGCTGGTAAGCCGTTGTCTCTGTGACAATTAATTTATCTTTGCCTCAAATTTTGATCATATTGAGAATGAATTGGATGATTGAGTCAAGCAATTTGTAGATCATATGAAGCTTCTTCTGGATTTATAAGTATTCAGCAACTTTATTCCTGGATATATGAATAGTATACTGCAATGATATTTTAGTCCATTCCTGCATTCTACTTAATGGCGTAGAATTTTTGAAACTTAGTATCAATGATCTGATTTGATTCTGTTTACTTCTCTTTGTTCTGTTGTGTAATCATTCAACTTAATTTCAAGAGCTAGATCACACTAAATAATCCCAAACAAAAGGATTAGTATTTAAACAAGTTAAACTAAAAGCTTTTTTTTTTTTTTTTTGACAAAAAGAAACAAAACATCAAAAAAACGCAACAGGTCTCGCTTCTATCCAAAGGACCAAACCACTCTGGGATACAAGACTCTCAGACCCTCTTTTCTTCCGCCTCAGTCACGCTTCAGGCAATTTGATGAGCTAACCGGTTTGCTTCTCTTCCGATTTTGGTGATTGATTGAACTCTGTTAATGTCCACAAAAGTGTGAATTTCTTCGACGATTCAACGAATTTCTGTGATGTCCATGTCTACGCCCGTTAAAAGCCTCCACTTCCAGAGAATCTGTTTCAAGAAGAATTGGGTAAGACTCCATATTTTGTAAGTGCTTTAACCCTTCCAAAATTGCCATGGCTTCCATCTGTTTGATATTTCTCTTATCACGCACGTAGGTTTTGCCGGCCAAAATAAATTCGCCTCTCCAGTTTCTGCCTACCCAGCCGAGCCCGCCATAATTAATTCATCAAACCATGTAGCATCCGAATTTAGCTTCCTGGTGTGAAGAGGGAGGGGGGTGACCAGTGCTCTTTGTGTTGTATGAAACTTTGCTCCCCTGCTGAGAAAGTGTCATGATGCCAGAAATCTTGTAATCGTCTCTTAATCTGCATGATAAGATCGCTTGTTGCGATTTTTCTCATAAAAAACTACTCTGTTTCTGTACTCCCAATCTTGCCATAGAATGAACATTGCTTGATCTAGCTCTCTGTCCTTGATATGATCAAACTAAAAGCAAAAATATTAAAGGCCAAGCTTCTAAACCACATCATTCTTCTTCCTGCTTGTCTATCTACCTGAACTAGTGCATTAGTTTTTATTATGACATGCATGGTACAACTGATCTATACTTGTTTTTTCTGTTCAGATCGCTACCACATTCAAAGTGTAATCTCTGTATCAACATAATGGAAAGTTTAAACAGCCAGTACCTTTACAATAACAAAAGAAAACAGATATCCATCCTACATGGTACATGGGGGAGAACTGACCCGTAAAAATGAACAAGATGCTTGCAGATCTCAGTTTCTTTTCACCATCTCATGTTATTATTCCAAGAGTTAAAAATATTGTACTTTCAGATTCCCTTCTTGTAGAAGGAAGAGAAATCTTGGTGATGATTGGTGTCTTCCATTTGCAGGGAGAGGAAAGTTCAGACCAGAGCAGTAATGCTACCTATAGTCTTCACTCCTCTGTCCTCAGAGCAGTAGAAGGCTTGAACTTCAAGTTCAGACCACATCCTCTAAACTGGGAGAAACAGTTACTGAAATTGAGGCCATAATGTAATGTAATTGTGGTTAAGTGGCCCAGGCAACAGAACTGGATACTGGATACTCTCTCCCCCAGGCTAAATGCAGCTACCAATTCTATGTACACGGGATTTTTTTCTTTGTTTAGAGTTTTCATTTTGGATTCGGGATTTAACTAAGACCCCAAATAATCTGATATATATTTATGGTTTACCAATTTGAGCATAGCTTAACTAAGTTGATCACATTTAAAATAGCCGAACTGAACTAAGAAAATATATATCGTTACGTTCTTTTCAAGCACAACTGAACTTCCCCGATATATTTGAGGTAATGTTGCAATTTACTTCCCAGCTGGTGTAGAAGAAGATTGTGTTCTCTTAAAAAGAAAAACTAATTTCATTTGGAACGAAATATTGATTTCCTAATCTGTTATCATTTACATGAATCTTGTCTTTGTAGTGTGTGATTTTAGCATCTAACTTGGGGAACTGCAGAATCCTTGGGATATGATGGAGTTCTCTGGTAATTCACGTATTCACCTGGATTCATTCTTATCAGTTTTCAAGATAGCTGGCATTCCTGAAGAATACTACTTCAATGGTATGGTTAATGAAAACTTTCTTTTGTCTACCTCTTTTATAGGGGGGAAAAACTCTCGAGTAATTCAACCAAGCGCTGATCAAAATGAAGAAAATAACAATAGCAGGTCGGTTATCGAACAAGGAAGATAATTTTGTCGACCGAGCGGTGATTGCTAACAGCTAAGACTCGAACCGATTTTGAAAACCATGACGAGTTCTTGAGATATTTTATTTGAAGATGCTAATATCTAACTGTGCTGCTGTTTGAAACAAAGAAGCCTCAATCAAGTACATATTATCTTCTTCCTTAAGCTAACTATATGATTCTAATGGAAGTAAATGAAGTTCCCATTTGTTTTTATGGCTAATAATGGAGTTTTATCAAGGCATGGGATGTTTATCAAGAGCGGATACTCTTCAAATTTTGAAATCTTCTACTGATATCATTGGTGGCTGCATGTAGCTACTTAAATTTCAGTGATTAGTTATAGGATTATTATTTTGTAGTATCGGTGGGAACAAGTTAATGATCTTACAAGTCATCACAGGATTATTATTTTTTAATTATTCTTAAAAAAAAAAGAAAAAAGAAAAAAAAGAAGGAAGTTAATTTTTTTACAAATAATGGAATTTGACTACTTGAAAATTGACTTGTATTTCGGTTAAAACTATGAGTTTTTCAAATATGAAATATACCGAAAATAGTTTTAGAAAAGAGAGAGATTTTGAGTATTTGGAATTTGAATGGATTTTCAGTTGAGTTTTATCACATTTATAATTTTGTTAAAATTTTAAAATCGAATTTCAAATGGTTTTGGTTCAAAAGTTAGATTTTTAGTTTTTGTCTTTCTTCTCCTTCTTCTTCTTTTTTTTTTTTTTGAAAATATAT